TTCACTGATTCTTTAATTTTCTAAAGTCATTCTTTTCATATAGAAAGGTTTATTAACAGATTCAGAATTTTAATGTCAATAGAGATCAATTCTTCTAAAACTTGTCTAAATTAGTACTTTAAAATCTAAGACAGATCATTCGGAATTTTTAGAATTCTTTTTTATCGTGACACGAAAGATGTATGATTTAACAGAATGTTGACAAAAATCTAGAATTGTATAGCAGCTAGTTCTTTACAATGTTAAGGAATCTTGATATTCACTATGGATAACTACTCAAAAATTACAGTGTTATTGAGTATCGCAGCTGGAATTGAATCGATTCAGGACGATCTTTGATCTTAACTATACATAAAACTGTCACTAACTTCTAATCAGAAAGCATACAAATTTGATCGAATTATTATCTTGTAGAAAATTGTTGATTCTGCAAACTTTTTCTTCTGATACTTACACAAATAAATGAAAAATCTTGAATTTCATGTTCGAATGCAAGTCTTGTCATAGCAGAAGTTCAGCTAGAAGTCTAAGGGAGCAGATTTCTTTGATTCTCGCTTAAAGTTTTTTTTTTAAATTGTCCTTTTCGTCATATTTTTTTTCCAATTGAGAATTCATCTCTGTGAAATGATGATATTTCATGGATTTAAATTCCATGTAGTAAATAAATTTGTATTTTTATTCATCTTAAAATTTTGTCATTCTTATTTGACAAGCTTTTTCAGGCCATTCAATGCTGATACATTACTTTTTCCTACTCGCTTTGCCATGATTAGGAAGCTGCGGATCCACATTTTTGTGCACCCGGATTCAAACCCGAGGTTTTTCCCATCAATACCTGCCACACTTTGTGTGCTTGAACAAGTAAAGGATCAAAGTTTTAGCTATTTATTCGCTACTCTTTGAAAAAAATTCAACGTACAGTTATATCTCGTTATTGTATGTCTCATCTGAAGAGCAGCGGATCCACAAAAACGTGTAACCGGGTCCAACAAAACTTTGGACTCGGGCTCGGATCAGGCCCGAGTATGGAAGGACCTGCAGCTCTCTAGTCATGATTCTCCTAATTGAATACTCGACTGAAGCAATATCTAGAATCATAAATGAACACTGATCACGTCTTATAACTTGAATATTTAGTTCTTTCATATAAGCAATAGTCTTGTTTTTTTTCGTTGTATAATTTAATATAATGTCTTGCGGAAGAATCATGCTGAAGAAATGGTTCTACGTGAGTCACTCTGAAAGTTTTTAGGTTCTTGATTAAATTTAGTAGCTATATACTAATTTAGTATTTGTGGTAGTAGACCCGAGTCTTATAAGAAAGTTCACAAAGTTTTGGTTCTTGGATATTTCTCCTTTCGTTTTGTTGTAGATTAAGTGATATTAGGTTGGAAATAATGCATTGCCCGAGGGATATCGCTATAGTTTTAAATAGAGTAAATAATGAGTTTTATACCAAACGAAAGCTCATCAAAAATGAGGTTTAGTGGTACTAAACAAGAAGAGTTATGAAAATTTTCTAATGTTCGTTTGGTATAAAATTCAACATTTACTCTATTTAAAATTCTAGCGATAGCCCCTGGTGAAATATTATTTTCAATCTAATATCACTTAATCTACAACAAAACGAAAGGAGAAATGTTCAAGAGCTAAAATTTTGTGGATTTTACTCCAAGACTTGGATCTACTATTACAACTATTAAACTCATATATATCTATTAAATTTAATCAAGAATTTGAAAAACTTTCAGAGTGACTCACGTATTATATGTTTGATATGGTATTTACTGGTAATTATAGAATTATGTTAAATAAACTATAACTGCATTTCATTATAAATATTCACTCCTATTGAAACTATTAGAACCAAATGATCTAAATTATCATTTCGTTAGATTTTTTTTCAATGTTTTTCTTAGTAATCGATTACTTCTAGTATAATCTGTATTTTTAATACGTTAGTATGTATAAGAATAAAATCATATGTAGTTTGTAGTTATCGTAGATTTCTATAAAAGATTGCATAATTGACGATAAATCGACTGAGTCCTGTATCATATATTTTTGAAATAAGAGCTGGATATTATCGATGTATCGGTTATTTCTTCTATTCTTGATGTCAGATTCCCGTTCTCGTAGATCTCTGAGTTCAATTTACTTATTCAATTCATATATGATAATTCTTTTTGAATAGGCATGACATTAATCTATGTATAATGATGTTATTTTTTTTCTAGAACCCAGTAAAATTATCACATTCACGTGCTTATACTGTTCCATTTGTTGATCGTAAGTTTAATTTAGAATAGATTTTAATAGAATAATTTTTATTGGATATTTTATTTTAGCTCCCGATGGCATTTATTTACGTGTAACAAAAGATATTAAGTAAATTTTATTTAAATATTTAGTTTAAATAAAAATTCTATTGATGAATTTTAGACGATTAAGAAAAGAAATTCCTCAAAAAGAAATTCGTCGTATTGCGCGTGCCCCATGGAAAAAGCTCAATACAAATTTTGTCTCGTATGTTGATGATGATATTGTTGTATTAGATTAGATAAATGTGCGTATTTTTGGCTTTTTTTTTTGTATATAATACGTATATCAATATGTTTTTCTTTTCGTA